CATGGAATGCAGGGAAACCGTCACCGCAACCACCGTCACCTCCTCTGCAATGATGGCAGCATCTTCTCCCTCCTCACTCTCTCCTATATCATCTCCAACTGGATCTTTTTCATCCTCTCCGCCACCAGCTATTATAGTTAGCCCTTGCGCTGCATGCAAAATCCTCCGCCGCAGATGTGTGGATAAATGTGTATTGGCGCCTTATTTTCCGCCGTCGGAGCCGCTCAAGTTCACCATTGCCCACAAAGTTTTTGGTGCTAGTAACATAATCAAGTTGTTACAGGTATTTTAATTACAATCATGTTACATGAATATCAATGTCAACATAAACTTGACATAATACCACGTTACATTTTATCATTGAACAATTTAAAATACAGTCAATTTTTCCTTTTAATCGTCTACTACCACAAGCAATTATGTCAAGCTTTCTATCATCAGGTTAAATAGTGGGTATTTTTAATTTGTTATGAGACAAACAATGGATTCAGTAAGTTCTTATCTTTAATCACATCCATTGAATGTCTGAAGGAGTATGGAAATTATGATATTGTAAAGAAAGACCACTCCGTGGCTATCACCAATATATTGTCAAAGAACGAATTCAGCCATCTTGACTTCGAATTGGACCGGATTACTTGATCACTTCCTTTTCCATGAAGTGATTGCTTAGGGACCTTAGCGTTGGATCTTTCCTGACTTTGGATCTTAGTATCCAAACAGTCTGCCTATACAAATGATCTAAGTCTATCTTTGGTGTAGAAAGAAAACAAATTTAGCCCATGTTGGTAGAGATTAATTTCTAAATTTTAATTTAAGTTAAAGTTAACAATTAATATTAACTACGTAGTTCATGTCATTCACAACATTTTAACTACATATTTCATCAATTTTTATAAAAATATATTTAAAAAAGCCTGATTTCAATCCCCACAAAATAGGGTTATAATACAAGAGCCAATATTTTTTGGGATTTCGTTTTGTTCGAACCCGAAGACCAATGTCTTTCTTTTTAATCCCACAATTTTTTTTCTTTATCTCCTACAACAAAGGAGGTAGTAGTTAATAATTTGTCTTTATTTATTTTTCTTCTTTTGACTAGAATTTTGCGACCTTTATTTATTCAAACTTTTGCTTGATCACACATGTAGTCACGACTGAAAGGGAAAGGTACAATGGTCAATGGAAGTAGGCACCTAATCAAAATGACCAATGTTTTCCTCTCATAACCAAAATTCAACTATCCTCACCTGCATAAAGAAAGAATCGAGCAACTAGAAGATATTTTTTTATTGGAACTATAAAGTCAGTCTTCCGATGATACTTATATAAACAAATGATTTTTTAAATATTGGTGCTTAATTTATCTTATACGATCATATGCCATATTAATTAATTAATTTTTAGATCATTTAATTTCTAGAATTTATCATGAACTTGTTCATTAATTAATTGGAACGACATGTCGTCAATGTTTCTCTCTCCCCATATATGTAACCACACATCTTTATTGTTAAATTTGAAAGGATTATAATCAGCTTAGTTGTTAGTAATCACATTAGGTCACGGAATCCGAACCCCATTGAAAAACTGCCTCAACTTAAAAAGGTGTTTTACTTAAAAAATAAAAAATTAAAAAAAATTGTTAATAATCACAACTGTTAATTTTTAATTTTGAAACTTAAAACTTTAGCATTTTCTATGTATGTTGATTAGTATATGATATTGCAGGAACTTCCTGAAGCTCAAAGAGCAGATGCTGTGAATAGTATGGTTTATGAAGCCAACGCCAGGCTTCGGGATCCGGTATATGGCTGCGCTGGTTCGATTTGCCAACTTCAGAAAAAAATTAGTGAACTTCAAGCAGAACTTGCCAAAGCACAGGCTGAGATTTTAAACTTGCAGTGCCAAAATGCCAATTTGGTGGAATTTATCTGCCAAGAAATGTCACAGAATCAAGAAAACTGCCCTCAAGAACAGCCAAATGATAGTTCTCCATTATTTTTTGATGATTGGGTGTGGCTTGGGAGCCCCTCTGGACATGAAAATTTGATCAAATGATCCTACCTAAAAATATTACACTAGGGATTATTTAGATCTTAAAGAGAAACTCGATGTATCGTCAAGATATTTAGTCATCGTTAGCATATTGTCTTGTACTGTTACTTTTCCGAAGGAAAAGCTACCACCAGGTCATTAAGGACTACAACTACTTGTAACGGAAACTTTTCGGTGAAATGAAGTTATCGAAATAAGTTCAATTTCAACTCTCTCTCTATTTTTCTCCCAATGAATTTCCTTGTCAAACTTGTACTTGACCAGTTCTTTAACGTGTCTGTCTCATTTTAGTTTTTAGTCTTGCACCATGTGAGAGATGTGACACTAGTGTTTAGAGGCATAATATTTAATTTTTCAAACTTGAGAAGCTTAATTATTACAACATACGGAAAATGATGTGTAGCCTTGTTTGAGCTCCAATATAATTAGATTTTTAGAAAAATGCATTTTGTAATAGTAATTTTTTAAAGAGTGTGTGATTAAAAAAGAAGAAAAAATTTTGAACTTGTAATATTTTTTCATTGGAAAATGTTTGGTTGAAAAGAAAAGAGAAAAAAAAATGCATTTTAAAATTAATGAGGGCTAAATTGGGGTTAAATGCATGAAGAAAATTGTCTCGAGAATAAGAATTTTCTCAATGTATTTTATTTTTATAGTAAACTTGTCAAAATTATAAATAAATACTCTATCTGCTTACGATCGTGATGGAATTGGACTACCAAAAATGTAGATTTTCCCTGTTATATGTTTGACAAATAACTTGACTAGTTCTGGCCTAACATTTCTCCTCAAAGCTTTAATAGAATTCTATTTCCAGAACTTAGACGACTAATTACTTTACTTTCAATATAGTATTTTTTTTTTTTAATATGGAGAAATATTTTGCAGATTATCTAATTTTTCTCCGTATAGATACAGACACACACACACACACACTCTATTATTTATTTTCTTTCTCAATGATAATCTTTCAATCTTAGTGCCACTTTTTAATAGAATAATTTTTTTTAATTAATTTTATTGGCATGTCGTAATTCAATCATTTGACCATATCTATAAACGTTCGGGATTTGAACCAGCTTCGTATTCACCTCCTAAAGATCCTTTCCCGTGAAAATTTCAAGAAGAAATGAGAAATAAAAATCGAGAGCATTATTAATATTAATTGTTAGAATTTCATATATTGGCAATTCTTTGGACAAAATGGACGTAAATTAAAGCATTGTAAAAGTCAAGGAGTTTGTGAAAATATTGTAAGCCTCCATTAGGTTTCGACAAAAATTAGATTTATAGCAGATTTTGATTAAAAAAAAAAATGATGCAATGTGTAGTTAAAATGTTGTGGAACCCATGAAATACATGATTAAAATTAATTGTTGATTTCGACTTAAATTTTATTTCATATTTTAAGTTGAACCGAATAGATGCTAAGATTGTTGGTGTGACCTTAAAAAAGAGAAAAACACAGTGAATCTAGTCAATTGTCAATCGAGATGGGGGATGCTACCATTGAAGCTTCTCACATGCCAAATTCAGTGAGCTTGCAATGTATTGATTTCCACATCTTTCTAATGGCTATGGAACTCCTTTGAGTGAAGGATTGTGGACAGTCATCTCTCCAATCATTCCAATCAACATCGTTGATTTCATCCACTCGATCACTTTTTTATCTCCTCTTCGGTTCGTTTGAGCAAGTGGCAGGGTACTTATTGCCTAAAGCCAAGCCTTCGAGCCTAAGCCGTCATGTTTTGCTTAATGCACGTTTTGCTTACTCAAGATCAAATCCTATTCGTTCAAAATATTTTTGGACTCCTTCCAAACGGAAGCAAACAGAAGCAAAATGCATCCCTGTCCGAAGCTTTCAAAACTTCTTCTTCCATCTCTAGTCACCGCATAGTCAATATTAAGTTTTTCCTTGCTATTTTTCTTTGCTTCTTTCTAAACATTCTTCGATCCTCCCTTAGGTATGTATTAAGTATACTTTTTCTTAGGTATGTATTAAGTATACTTTTTCTTCTTCTTGTATATTCACAGTCTCTACCCGTCATTTACCACGTTCCCAGTGGGCTTTTATCTGAATGTATTTTGGAAAAATGACTTTATAAGATGTTTTTTCAAAGTGTCTCAAAATAGATCCATCAGTGTCAAAGCCACTAGTTCTAGGTTTAGAGATGACAGAGTGGATTTGTCATCATTGTCTTCTATAAAAGTGTTATATTCTAACGTTGTACCTTAGACGTGTTGGAAATTAAACTTAATTCATGAATGATGAAAAATTAAAGTTGATATATGAATTAGTTTATTCATGTATATATTTAAATCATGTGTCCAAATGGTTATTTGTATCCTATTATTCATAGTAGTCTCTTAAGTTCATTTAATGTATTTGGGATCCTTTGTACCTATAAAAAGCGTTCTGTTAGAGACATTTTATAAAGCCAAGCAATAGAATTCAAATATTTTTTTGAGAATTCTTTGAATTTTTCTCTCTATCCTTTCATCCCATAATTTTTATTTCTAACAAAGTGGTATTAGAGCAATTTCAAAGATAAATAGTTCATTTCCTTTTGATGTTCCCAAACTAACAAAGAAAAATTATGAACATTGGAGCATACATATGAAGGCGTTGCTCGGCTCACAAGAGGCATTGGGAAGTTGCAAAGAAAGGCTATGATGAACCAAAGAATGAAGGAGCTTTAAGTCAAGCTCAAAGGAAATTCACACGGACTTAGATGAAACCATGTTCGAGAAAGTTGCTTCCTCAACAAAAGTTAAGGAAGCTTAGGACATTTTCGAGAACAATTTCATGGGAATTGAAAAAGTGAAGAAGGTTCGCCTTCAAATCCTTCGTGGGGAGTTCGAATCTCTGCACATAAAAGAGTCTGAATGTGTCATTAACTATTTCACTAAAGTGTCCTCCATTGTCAATCATATGAAGTGGTATGGGGAGAATATTGAAGAAAGTTGTATCATTGAGAAAATTCTTAGATCGCTTACAACTTGAGTTTGTTAGTAGTACCATTGAAGAGTCTAATGACTTGGATACCATGAGCCTTGATCAACTAATGGGGTCCTTGCAAGCATATGAAGAAAGATTGCAGAAGAAAGGAGAACCGATGGCTCAAGTTCTCCAGACAAATGTCTCCTTGGGAGGTTAACAGAAAGAGCAAGGACGATCTCAAGAAAGAAGTCAAATTTATGGTCGAGATCGTGGTCGTGGTCCGGAGGAAATTATGGTCATGGTAACGAAAGAAATGATGGAAAACAAAATTTGAATAATGAAGGATCAAGCAATCAATTAGGAGGACGAGGGCGTTGGAACTATGGCTCCAAGAGAGGTGGCGGAAGAAGATATGACAAGTCCAATGTTCAGTGTTACAATTGTCGTAAATATGGTCACTATGCTTCCGAATTTAGGAGTGACACCACGAATAATGAGGAGAGAGTTAATTATGTTGAAGCAATGAAAGAATTGTTGTTGTTGTTGGCAACCAAAGAAGAAAAGGATAAACAATCGTGGAACCTTGACATCAGTGCCGCCAATCACATGAGTGGCAACAAAGAGTTATTCACAACAATAAATTATTCGATAAAAGGCAACATTGTTTTTGGAGATGAAAACAAAGTTCTAATAAAAGGCAAATGTGATGTTCTTATTCGTGCTAAAAATGGAAGTCATCTTTTGATTTCTCAAGTTTATTATGTACATACTTTGAAGTAATATTTTGAATTTGGGAAAATTACTTGAAATTGGCTATGACATTCACTTGAAGAATCGTTTCCTTACTTTGAGAGATGTTTCTCATAAATTGATTGCAAAGGTGCCAATGGAGAAGAATAGAATTTTATGCTCAATGTTAATATTGACCATACAAGATGTCTAAAGGCTTGTGTTGAAGACAATTCTTGGCTTTGGCACTTAATATTTGGCCATTTGAATTTTGGTAGCTTGAAGACCTTAACAAATGAAGAAATAGTGAATGGGTTGCCAAAAATTAATCATTCCAATCAACTTTGTCAAGGATGTCTCGTTGGCAAGCAAGCTAGAAGAGACTTTCCAAAGGAATCCACCTCAAGAGCAACAAAGCTACTCCAACTTGCTCATGCGGATGTGTGCGGGCCAATCAAACCACCCTCTCATGATTAAGCAAATTATTTCTTGCAATTTATTGATGTTTTTTCTCACAAGATTTGGGTTTATTTTTTGATGACGAAAGATGAAGTTTTTTGAGCATTCAAAAAATTCAAAGCCATTGTTTGAAAATGAGAGTGACAACTCAATCAAAGCATTAATGATTGATCGAGGTGGAAAATTCACTTCCAAGGAGTTTAACAATTTTTGTGATACCGATGGAATCCAACATTTCCTTACAGTTCCAAAATCACCACAACAAAATGGTTTTGTGGAGCGGCAGAGTAGAACCATCCTCAACATGGTTCGTAGTATGCTTAAGAGCAAGAGTATGGAGAATGAGTTGTGGGCCGAGGCTGTTGCATGTGCCATGTATTTATCTAATTTTTCTTGGTTGAGGAGTGTTCAAGACATGACTCACAAGAAGCTTGGAGTGGTAAGAAACCTAGTGTTTCTCACTTACGTGTTTTTGGTAGTATTGCCTATATTCATGTGCCAGATGCGAAAAGATTAAAACTTGATGAGAAAAGTGAGAAGTTTGTTTTCATCAGTTATGATTCAAACTCTAATGGCTATAAGTTTTACAATCCTTTCAATGGAAAGATTGTTATTAGTAGAGATTCGAAATTCAACAAAGGAAGCTCGTGGGATTGGAATGTTTCGAAAAATGAAGAATACGTGATTTTTCCTTTGCAAGAAGGAGACTCTAGCCAAAAAGCAAGTGAAGATAACACTCCACCGCATCCTCCTACTCATCAATCTCATCATGATAGGCTCTTCGAAGGATCAAGTTGTATTAGAAATCTTGCATAGATTTATGAAGAAACTGAAATTATTGATAATCCATCTCTATTTTGTCTCTTCATTGACACCAAGCCATTGAAGCTTGAAGAGGCAATGAAAGATAAGAAATGGAGGCATGCAATAGATGAGGATATACAAGCAATAAAAAAAGAACAATACATGAGAGCTAGCTTCTTTTCCTGAAGGGTAAAAAGCAATTGACATGAAATGGGTGTACAAAGTAAAGAAAAATGCACAAGGAGAAGTAAAAAAATACAAGGCAAGAGTTGTTACCAAAGGCTAGAGCCAAAAGCATGCCATTGACTATAATGAGGTCTTTGCCCCCGTTGCTCGCTTGGTAAACTATTTGAATAATCATTTCCTTGGTAGCTCAAAATAAGTAGAAAATTTATCAAATGAACCTCAAGTCTACTTTCTTGAATGAATTCCTTGAAGAAGAAGTGTACGTTCAACAACCATCGTGTTATGTTGTCAAGGAATATGAAGATAAAGTTTTGAAGTTGAAGAAGGCGTTATATAACTCGAAACAACCACCTAGAGCATGGTATAGTCGGATTGACAAGTATTTTCAAAATCATGGATTCATTAAATGTCCACATGAGTATGCTATTTACGTTAAAAAGGTTGCATTTGGAGGTTTTATGATTGTATACTTGTATGTTGTTAACTTGATCTTCACCGACAACAATGAAAACATGTTTGATGAATTTAAGAAAATGTCTCCTCAAGAATTTGAGATGACTTGACATTAGGCCCATGTCATACCACCCCAAAATTGAGGTAAAACAAAATGGAGATGACATTTTTTTTTTCAAGAAGCTTATGCAAAGAAAGTTCTTGAAAGGTTCAAAATGCAAAATTGCAGTCTAGTCAATACTTCCATTGGGTGTGGAAAAAAGATGTCAAAATATGACGAGAGCATAAAAGTGGATCCATCTCTCTATAGACAACTTGTTGGAAGCTTGAGATATTTAACTTGCACAAGATCCAATATTCTTTATGGTGTTGGTCTTGTTAGCCGTTATATGGAGACACCAACTTTAACTCACATGGAGATTGTTAAAAGGATACTTCGCTACATTAAAGGTACATTTGATTATGGCTTAGCTTATTCTTCTTCTACAAATTTCAACATTTAGGGTTATAGTGATAGTGATTTGGCTAGTGATATTAATGATTAAAAAAGCACCACTGGATTTTTGTTTTTCATGGGTAACACCACTTTCACTTGGTGTTCAAAGAAGCAGCCATCGTGACTCTTTCTACTTGTGAAGTTGAATATGTTTCCGTTGTATCGTGTGTTTGTAATTCCATTTGGCTATGAAAATTATTGGAGATGCTTCATATGTCCCAAAACGAAGCTACACCAATTTATGTTGATAACAAGTCAATTACTGCTTTAGGTAAAAATTCTATGTTCCATGATCGAAGCAAGCATATAGATACGAGATTTCACTACATTAGAAAGTGCATTGAGAACAAAGAAGTTGAGCTTGCTTATGTGAAGACCAATGATCAAGTAGCAGACATTTTCACCAAACCATTGAAGAATGATAAATTTACAAGATTGCGTACTTGGATTGGAGTTATCATGAGGGAATCAAATTTAAGAAGGGGTGTTGGAATCTTGATTCATGAATAATGAAAAATTGAATTTGATACATGAATTAGTTTTATTCATGTATTTATTTAAATCATGTGTCCAAATGATTATTTGTATCCTATAATTCATAATATGGAGGAAAAATCATTAATTAGTCTCTTACATTCATACAGTGTATTTGGGATCCTTTGTACCTATAAAAGACGTTGTGCTTGAGACATTTTATAGAGTCAAGCCATAGAATACAAACCCTTAGACAAGGGAACGGACTACACCTTCGGGATAAGTCCAACGAGCCTTCAAATGAAGCAGAGAATTCTGGTGGGAGTGAGATGAAGATATTGTTTATGAGGCTTTGAAGACATTTTTGAATATCACCAAAAAGGACTTAATTGATATGTCAAAAACATTTGCATGGCTATGTATAACTTAGCTTGAGTAATGAATTTATACCCAATAATGATTGTTTATTAATTAAGATCAAAATTTGGATTAGTTCATGGAAACATTTGAATTTTATAATTATAACTTGAACAATTGAGCTCGACTTCATTTTTTATTGCAGTTATGTGGACTTTGAAAATAATGTATGAGTTAGCTACCTTGGGACCCTTTGGGACCACAGTCATATCTTTAGTACACTAGTCACCCAATTTTGATCCTTGTTGAAGACTTTATTGAGAATAAGTTAGGGAATAATTATATTCTTTCAAAAATAATATCTATATCACTTGATCATTTTTCAAACCTCCTCATTTGGCTCAATAAAATAAGTAGCACTAGTAGTGACAAGTAGGAAAAAGATACATGCGCTATCGTGTATAGATCAAACCATATTCAATATTTAGGAGACGAATTTAAATCGAAGCTAAAATTGAATAACGTTAATAGTTGATAGCATAGCCTTTGAGAGACGGACTCGTATTCATATTACTATTTGTCGTGGAGAAAGCACGCATTGTATGCCCTTTTTGTTTTAATCGAAATTGTAGGTATGCTTTTAGAGAAAAACCAATGCTCCCTTGTGAAAAGGATTAATTAAATAGGTCTAAGAAAAATCTAATAAAAAGGCACAAGATTATCAAAAGGTGGATGACTTTTGCATAATGTTGAAATTTCATTTGATTTTTGTGTATCTCAAAAGGGCAAAAAACGATGTGAACAAAATCTTCTAATATTCAGTCTATGATTTCTGCCATTGTGGCTCTATTAAGGGTGTGTGTTTGGATGAAACATCCAAGAAAAAACAGTTCCAATTCAACGAATTTTTTGGATAAAAATTCATCTCTGGAGGCCCAACTGCTAAGAAAATTGAAAATTGAAAATTGAAACTTGAAAGGAACCATTAATTTGAAAAGGGAAAACTATTATTGAAAAATAAAATTATTGTTTTTTTTTTTTTCAAAAATCGATAATATTATTGTGTGTGTGTGTGTGTGTGTGTTTTTTTTTTTTTTAAACGAAAAGGGAAAACTACATGAAATGAACCATTAATTTGAAAAGAATCACTGTTGGCAAACCGATCCTAGAAGATTAATAAGTTAGCATTTAAGTCCTAGCAATTTGTATACCATACAAGCCTCCTAAGTTAATTAAGCGACAAGAATAATCTTCATTCGATTTATTTATTTTTTTTTTATTTTTTAACTCTCTAGTTTTATTTTTATTTGAAAATATTTCTGTGCCGGATTTAATTTGCACAAGAGTAACTATTTCCATCGCAATTCCATCTATGATTTTCTTTAAAAAATTAAATAAAAAGAAAGAAAAAGATTATTGAACTTAGCCAAAGATGAATAATTTGGTCTCATTGATTTTGTGTTTTCTGGTTGTGTTGACTGATTTTTGGTTTCTAATTGGACATGTGAACCTGCCATTGAAAGAACAATATAAGCTATTGAGTCAGTCTTTTCAATCTAACAAATCGAACATTTGGACAAACAAAAAGAATTTGTTATCTTAATTTTAAAATTGAATTTGTGGTTGTAAAAGTAATCCTTCTTTGGCATGTTTCGCATAGACATTTATCTTTTATCTAGAATAGAATATGATCTGTGAATTTTACTTTATTTTATTTTTGTTCTTTTAATTGAGATTTTTCAAATAATAAAAATAGTTTGTATTTATCTGTGATTATTATGAAGGCACTGATATATGGCGTGAACTGACCCAATTCGTATAC